GCTCAAGTGTTCACTCGTGGCCTCACCTCTTGAGTAGCTGAGACCACAGGTTCGTGCCACCACCACCTAGCTAATTTTTTAACTTTTTATAGAGATGGGGGTCTCTCTCTATGTTGCCCAGGCTGTTCCTGAACTCCTGGGCTCAAGCAATCCTCCACCTCCCAAGTAACTGGGACCACAGGCACATGCCATCATGCTGGTCCAAATCCAGCCTCCTGGCCACACTCCAGCACCTTAAGGTCTAGGCCTGTGGCATCTGGCAGGACTCCTCTTACTTCTGAAGAGCCACCTCTGCCAACACTGTTGGGGATGGGGACACTGAGCTACAGCCTCTTCCCTCTGATCTTTGGGCTTCATGCCTGCGAGAACATATCACACCCATTACTAGCCAGAAAGCAGTGCATTAGGCTTTGCACAGTTTGCGTTTAGCAATGCAAATGCTAAATTCATTTTAGCATTTAGTATTTGCATTGCTAAACGCAAACTGCACAAAGTTTGGCCATTTATTGGAGCCTCCTGAGGAAGTCAATTCCCATCTCTGAGCCTTAGTTTCCTTATCTGAAAAATGGGATTAATAAATGATCCCTGTCCAGTAGGGTCCTTTGGAGAGTTAAAAGACATAATTCAGTCAGGCATGATGGCTCATGCCTGTAATCCCAGGGACATACCGGACAATATGGTGGGAGGATCACTTGAGGACAGGAGTTCAAGACCAGTTTGGGTAACAGAGTGAGCCCCCACATCTAAAAACGCAAACAAGTTAGCCAGGTGTGGTGGAGCACACCTGTAGTCCCAGCTGCTCAGGTGGCTAACGCTGGAGGATCACTTGAGCCCAGGACGTTGAGGCTGCAGTGAGCTATGATAGTGCCACTGTACTCCAGCCTACACTACAGAGACACCATCTCTAAAGAATAAAACAACATAGGCCGGGCGTAGTGACTCACGCCTGTAATCCCAGCACTTTGGGAGGCCGAGGAGGGCAGATCACAAGGTCGGGAGATCAAGAGCATCGTGGCTAACATGGTGGAACCCCATCTCTACTAAAAATACAATAAATTAGCTGGGCTTGGTGGCGCATGCCTGTAATCCCAGCGCTTTGGGAGGCCGAGGGGGCATGGTGGCAGGCTCCTACAATCCCAGCTACTCAGGAGGCTGAGGCAGGATAATCGCTTGAACCTGGTAGGCAGAGGTTGCAATGAGTTGAGATTGTACCACTACACTCCAGCCTGGGTGACAGAGTAAGACTCAGTCGCGAAAAAGAAAAAGAAAAAGAAAAAAAAAACAACAACATAATGCATACAGTTTGCCTCAGATTCTCCTAAAAGTCCACCCCTTTCTGAATATTTCAGCATCCTTTCAAGTGTCCTAAAAATGTTTAATTGCATTTAAATATAAAATTTTAATTAGGCCAGGCAAGATGGCTCATACCTGTAATCCCGGCACTTTGGGAGGCCCAGGCGTGCGGATCACTTGAGGTCAGGAGTTCGAGACCAGCCTGGTCAACATGACAAAACCCGGTCTCTACTAAAAATACAAAAATTAGCTGGGCATGGGTGCCTGTAGTCCCAGCTACTTGAGAAGCTGAGGCAGGAGAACGGTTTGAACCCAGGAGGTGGAGGTTGCAGCCATTGCATACCAGCCTGGGTGACAAGAGCGAAACTCCGTCTCAAAAAAAAAGATAAAGTGGGAAAGGACACCCCCAAGGATATAAAACAAGTTCAAATTGGTAGATGGGTCACAGCAGATACACCTAAAATGTTAAAAAGATTGGGGTGGGGGGAAGAAATGGTGTACTTGAATAGATACAAAAATCTTCCAAAGGGGGTTGAATTTTAGACAAACTGGTCATAAGATAAATTGAAAAGCCAGGTTTGGTGGCTCATGCCTGTAATCCCAGAACTTTGGGAAGTCGAGGAAGGAGGATTGCTTGAGGCCAGGGGTTCGAGACCAGCCTGGGCAACATAACAAGATCTCATTTCTACAAAAATTTAAAATTTAGGCAGGCACCGTGGCTTGCACCTGTAGTCCCAGCCACTCAGGACGCTGAGGTGGGAGGATCCCTTGAATCTAGGAGTTTGAGGTTGCAGTGAGCTGTGATGGCAGCACTGCACTCCAGCCTGGCCGGCAAAGCCAGGCCCTGTCTCTAAAAAGAAAGAAATTGAAAGCTGTTTGCCTCCTGCCCAGCAGTGAGAGAAGATGGGTGGCTCCTGTCAGTTCTCTTCCAGCTGGAAGAGGCCCACAAGGTCAAACAAGGCCTGGTGGAGAGGCCACTGCCACCTGGAGTGAGGCTGGTCACAGGGAGGGCTTCACAGAGGTTGAGCCTAAAGCCAGGCTTTCTGACCCCAGGCCAGGCCTCCGGACACTGCCCTCTGCCCACTTTCGCATTTCCTCTTCTTTTTCAAATTGTTCCCCTTTCCCCAGCCCTCTCCCCAGAGAGGTGGTCCAGCGCTCGGTGGCCGCCTCCCCACACCCCACCGGCCCAATTACAAGTCATGATTTTCTGTTTATTGCTCAAAAACAAGAATTCAGAAGCAAAGGTGGAGAGACTGTGGGTTGGGGAGATGGCAGGAAGGGGGCAAGGCCTTGTCCCAGCTCTCCCCTTCATCCTTCTTCTGACCCTCCTGGCTGGCGTCAGACCTAGGGCCAGGGCATCTGGGAGGGGGGCGCCTTCAAGGGAACAGTAGAGCTATCGGGGGCAGTCCTTGAGGGGTGCCCTGGGCAGGAGGGGCCGCAAGATTTGCAGGGGGCAGAGTTCCCCTCCCAGAATCCAAAAGCCAGTAGGGTGGGGGGCAGGTCCCTCGTTTGGCAACTGAGAAGAGGCGGCTTTGGGCGGCAGGATGCTGGTTTATTTACTGTAGGATCTCCAGGGCCATCAAAGCCCCCTCATGGGACGGGCAGACTATTTACACAGCCAGGGAGGAGGGCAGCCAGGAGGCAGAGACCGGGTCCCGTACTTCCCCCGGCCCGAATGAGGAGGGAAGGGGCGTCCTGGCTCCTGCAGCTGTAGTCTTGGGGTTCAGATGGAAACTTCATACTCCCGCGTATCCTGAAGACAGAGAGATCAGGTCAGTTGTTGGAGTCTGATAGGGGTGGAAGAGGCAGTCGAATGGGAGGAGGGGCAAATGACCCTGGGTTTTAAAGTAACATTGACCACTGGGGACCGGGGGTCCACAGGGGCTAATCTGGCCAGTGAAAGTGTTTGGTTCATCCTATAGTGTCGTAAAATGACACAAGAATCTGAATTTCTGGCTTGTCTTGAATAATTGGAAGATCTGCCAGTTGTGCCTCAGTTTCGACTATGGGGTAGAGCCGTATTCTTCAGATGGGGCTCAAGTCCTCCACTTAGCCACAGTCCTCACTGCTCCCTATTATCCACACGTGGCTTGCTGTGCTCATTGACATGGCCTCTGTGGGCAGCTGAGTTTGAAATTCCCAAGACAGGGATTCCAGAGACCTTGCGAGAAGGTTATGGAGTCCTGGGAGAGCCAAGTGGTGGCTCTTCAGGGGCAGGGGAGGTGCTCACCCCAGCTTCATACAGCGGGTTGCTGAAGTCCGACTCCACGGTGATAGGGCTGTAGGAGTGGGAGCCGGAGAAGCCAAAAAGGGACTTTCCCTGAAGCCTGGGAAAGGGAGAGGATAGAGGAGCTTATGAACAGGGTTCGGTGCCAGGCCCACAAGATGTCTGCCCTGGCTGGCAGCCCCTGTGCAGGCTACTTACTTGGTGTAGTATATGTAAACGCCACTGCCGAGAACAATGACCAAGCCTAGAGGCAGCAAGATGGCCAGGGCCAGGTTCCCCCCTTCCAGCTGCCGTGATGGATCTGTGGTCTGGGTCACTATAGGAGGAGGAGAGGCCGGTGAGCTGTGGTCGGGCCCGGTCCTGAGCTCTCCCAGCCTCCTGCCCTGGGCCTCACACCCTGGGCTTCATCCCTCCAAGGCCTGGCCTCCTGCCCCGGCCTCTGCCTTGCCCTCCCGACCTGGCCAGCCTGGGTCTCCACCTGTGCCCTCACTGACCTTCCAGTTTTCGGTTGTCCAGGAGCTCCTCATAGGCAACTGCAGGGAGAGGAGGGGGAGGGGATGGGGTCTGAGCCAGGGAGGGGAGGAGACTGGGAGGGGCCGGGAGCCCAGTGAGGCTGGGCTGGACAGTCTGGTTCTCTCTGCCCTCTGCTCAACCTCAACTTTCTCTCTCCCTTGGTGGGGAAGAGAGAGGAGTGACCAGCACAGGGCCTTTGTCCTCTTTCTCCAGACCCCTAAAAAGTCAGGGTTCCTGGACAGGCTCAGCCAAACTTTAGAATTTGTCAGAGATAGGGAAACTGAGGCCTAGCCAGAGAGAGCGAGGGATTTCCAAGCCAAGGCTCCCTCTACTACACCCCTGAGCCAATCCCCTGACCTCACACGACCCAGGGCTTCTGGACACACCCGTGAGGACTCGAGGCCACAGGAGGAGAACCGGGAGCTCTGTAGGGTCGCCCATTGGTCTCAAATGTGCTACCTGACTCTCCCAGCCCTGTCACTTCCCAGACACTGGTGTGCCCCTCCTGCCCTGTCTGGCCAGGCACCTTTGCAGAGTGGGGGCTGGCTGGTCCACTGGGAGGGGTGGCCGGGCACACAGGTGATGGTGACCTCGCCGATAAGCTCAAAGCCCTCATAGCAGAAGAAGCGCAGAGACTCGCCCGCCTGGTAGTGGTGCTTGTACAGCGTCTGGTAGCCATTCTCGGGAACCCCTGGGTTCAGGCACGGCTCGTACTTCACTGCGGGGAGCATGCCAGTCACATGCCAGCTGCACTACTGCGCACAGGGCAGACAGGCTCTCCCAGGGCTACCCAGCCACCCTCCCAGGGTGTGCTCCAGACTCACAGGCGCATTTGGGGACCCTGTCGCTCCACTTGGGTGTGCCTGTGTCCCGGCTGTAGCAGGTGAGCATGGCTGCCCCCTCGAGGCTGTACCCTGGCAGGCAGCGGTACTGGACGTGGGAGCCAACGGGGAAGCCAGCGTCCGAGGCGGTGCGGTGCCCGTTGGCAATCTCGCCAGGGTCAGCACAAGTCATGACTGGTGGCAGAAGAACAAGGTCACGGAGCGTGAGGGCCTTAAAAAAATCAGCCTGGGCAACACAGAGAGACCCCATCTCTACAACAAATTGAAAAATTAGCCAGGAGTGGTGGCGTGCTCCTGTGGTCCCAGCTACTCAGGAGTTGGAGGTGGGAGGATTGCTCGAGCCCAGTAAGTCGAGGCTGCAGTGAATGGTGAGCGCACTACTGCACTCCAGCCTGGGTGACAGAGTGAGACACAGTCTAAAAAAAAAGAAAAGAAAATCTCCCAGAAGCCTAGGGCTGGGAGAGGCCTGAGCCTCGGGCCGTTTCCTCTGAACACCTCTGCACACACACGCGCTTCCCACCAATTCCTCAGAAGGAAGAGAGCATGAATTGGAAAAACTTAAAATGCAGTGCATTTATTTTCAGACCAGAATGACAGGCTTATTTTTTTTTCAAAATTCAATGTATGTTGTATTTCAGGCTTCTTTTAGAAAACAGTTTGCTTGGGGAAATCCCAAGCCCCTATCCTGGGGTGAAATTCAAAATATTTAACCACCATACCAGAGCATATGGGCCAAATCCCAGCAGGGTGAGCCCAACATGGCTTGTCATCTGTGGAACAGTAGCTGCCCTCTTTAAAGGGGGCGCAGCTCTTCTGTCCCCAGTATTCTCATTATGCCCAGCCTAGTTCACTCACATACGCTGCCTGCCTGCAGGCGTTTGAGTTTACAACCCTGTTGTGAAGGAATCATAATCATAGCCATTTCTTGTATATAAGCCTGAGCTAGGTACCCTGCTAAACATTTTACAAACAAATATAATTCTGTGTGTGTGTGTGTGTGTGTGTGTGTGTGTGTGTGTGTGTGTGTGTTTGAGACGGAGTGTCTCGCTGTCGCCCAGGCTGGAATGCAACGGCGCTATCTCGGCTCACTGCAAGCTCTACCTCCCGGATTCCCAGGCCTCAGCCTCCTGAGTAGCTGGGACTACAGGTGCCCGACACCACACCCAGCTAATTTTTTGTATTTTTAGTAGAGACGGGGTTTCACCATGTTAGCCAGGATGGTCTTGATCTCCTGACCTCGTGAACCACCTGCCTTGGCCTCCCAAAGTGCTGGGATAACAGGCGTGAGCCATGGCGCCTGGCCTTTTGTTTTGTTTGTTTGTTTGTTTTTGAGAGTCTCGCTCTGTCACCCAGGCTGGAGTGCAGTGGCGCATCTCAGCTCAGGGCAACCTCCGCCTTCTGGGTTCAAGAGATTCTCCTGCCTCAGCCTCCTGAGTAGCTGCAGTTACAGGCGTTCGTTAGCACGCCCAGCTAATTTTTGTATTTTTAGTAAAGACAGGGTTTCACTATGTTGGCCAGGCTGGTCTCGAACTCCTGACCTCAGGCAATCCACCCACCTCAGCCTCCCACAGTGCTGGGATTACAGGTGTGAGCCACCACGGCTGGCTCCAAATATAATTCTTTGTTTTGGAGACGACAACTTGCTCTGTCACTCAAGCTGGAGTGCAGTGGTGAGATCATGGCTGACTGCAGCCTCAAACTCCTGGGCTTAAGCAATTCTCACACCTTAGCCTCCTGAGTAGCTGGGACTATAGGTATATGCCACCATGCCTGGCTATATTTTTTATTATTTGTAGAGACAGGGTCTCACTATGTTGCCCAGGCTGTTCTCAATCTCCTGGGCTCAAGTGACCCTCCCACTTTGGCCTTCCAAAGCACTGCAATTTCAGATGCGAGCCACCACCTAGCACAAACATAATATTTAATCCCAATTATCTTGAGAGGCCAATGTCACTGTCATCTCCCTTGGAGCCCAGGGCTCTCAGGGCAGTCAACGGACTTGGCCCATGGTCACTCAGCCAGGGAGTGGCAGAGCGGGAATCTGCCCAGGGTCACAGCCATGGAGAACTGGACAGGGACTCAGAGATGTGGGTCCTGGCACACCTTCAGGCTCAATCTGCTGCCTTGGGCAGGTTCCCTCCTGAGGCCGAGGCAGCAGGGCCAGCCGAACTCTTAGCCTCATCCAGGCCTAATATCCTGTGAATCCTTCCAGGGGCGGGGAGCTGTGTCCAGCCCAAATCTGGCTACCTGAGGTTTCTCCCCTTGGTCCCACCATTGCTTTCAGATGCCACATGGAACTACAGCCTCACATCCTTGGGGCTGGCTTCCCAAAATTTGAAGAAAGTGACCAGCTGCCATTCCTTCCTGCTCTTCAATTTTCTTTTACTTTTTTCTTTTTTTTCTTTTTGAGATGGAGTATCACTCCCGTGGCGCAGGCTGGAATGCAGTGGCATGATCTCAGCTTACTGCAACCTCAACCTCCTGGGTTCAAGTGATTCTCCTTCCTCAGCCTCCTGAGTAGCTGGGATTACAGGCGTGTGCCACAACGCCCAGCTAGTTTTTTATTTTTAGTAGAGACGAGGTTTCACCATGTTGGCCAGGCTGGTCTTGAACTCTTGACCTCAGGTGATCCACCACACCTGGCCCTTTCTGCTCTTCTAAAATATATACACTCCCAGCTCCTTTAAATGTCACCTCCTCTGTGAAACCTCCTGCCCCAGCTCTGAGAAAATTAGCCCACTGCTCTCCCCACAGTCCTTCCTCACACCCAGGGCAGCACGCACCCTGTGAAGTTTCCATCTGCGCTTCACAACCCGAGTCCTACTCCACCAATGGAGAAACCAAGGTTCAGAGATGCTAAGTGCCTCGCCCAAAGTCACCCAGTGATCACCATCCTGCGTATCACTCCCAGATTGTGAGCTCCACAAGAGTATGGAGGGGCTTGAACTCCCTTCTCCTAACCTCAACCCAGCACGGGGCTTCAGTGATGGCATTCAAATAAACCAAGTGCTCTGACAACCTTGGTCCTAGCAAAGTGGCTCCCTACAATTTCAACTGAGAGGACTGTGGGATTGGGGCGGGGCGTAGGACAGGAAGGATGGAGCCAAGTGTGGACACGGGGAGCCCAGTGGGAACCTGGTCGGAGCCCTGTTGGGGCGAAACTCAGACGCCGCAGAGGAGGAATCAGGAGGGGACGGGGCGGGGCCATGAGACGAGGAAACAGGGACCGAGCCCAGGTCGGTGTAAGAAAGAAGAGGGATGCAGCCCGGAGAAGGTGAGAGGGAGACGCAGAGGGGACAGTTTCCGGGAACCGGGGGGAGGAGTGAGAGCTAAAGGGCATGGGGGCAGGACCTGAAGAAGATCCAGGAAGGACCCCGAGCGAAGGGACGGAACACAAAGCAAGGGGGCTGGTACAGGACAGGGCGGGGGCGGGGCCCACAGCGAAGGGGCGGGGCCGACAGGACGCGGGCGGGGCCGGCTCACTCTTTTGGCAGGCTGGCGGCGCGGCGCTCCAAGAGAGGTCCCACTGGCAAGTGAGAATGTCGGAGCCTAGCAGCTCGTAGCCAGGCTCGCACTGGTAGGTGAGCACCGTGCCCCGGATCAGGTCCCCGTGGGATGCCGTCCTCCAGCCCCACTCCGGAGGTGGCAGCTCGGGGCACGTGTCGTTCCTTGGGACCTCTGCAGGGGAGGGAGGGCGAGTTTGGAGGCTGCCGTTTTAACTCCGGGCTCCCTTCCAGCCTCGGAGGCTTTGCTCTGTGCCCCCTCCCGGGATCTGTCTCTCTCTCTCTTTCTTAGAGACAGGGTTTCCTCTGTCGCCCAGGCGGAGTACAGTGGTACAAGCATAGCTCACTGCAGCCTCAACCTCTTGGCTTCAAGCGATCCTCCCACCTCGGTCTCTCAAGGCCCTGGGATAACAGACGTGAGCCACCACGACCGGCCACCTCCCGGGATCTCTGGCTTGCCCGACCCGTGCCCATCCCGGGACTCTATCCCTCAGTACCTTTGAAGTGCAATACGAAGCCCTGGCCCAGGCCTGGATTTGGGGGCCCGGGCGGTGCCTGAAACTGCAGTGTGAGGTCGGGCCCAGAGGAGAGGAGACGGCGGCGCGGTTGAGGTCCCCGCAGCTGGGCCAAGACTCGGGCGCTGGGACCGTCCCCGTCGAACAGTGTCAGCATGTCCCCTTCCCGCACATTCAATCTGCAGGGAGTGGGACCAGACAATGGGGTGGGGCTGCGACTGGCCCCTCCCATCCAGCTCTGCCCCATCCTCAACTCTGCTTATTGGTAGCCCCTCCTACTCTCCAGCCCCGCCCATAATTTCCTCTATTCTATGGCTCCTCCCATGTCCTACTACCCAATCCCTAACCTTGCTCATTACTAATTCCGCCCACTGTCCAGTCCCTCCTTCATCACCATGGGATCCAAAGCCTAGCCCAACTCCAGCTCTGGCCTATCATAGACCAAATTCGCTTCCACCCTACACAACTCTAGGCTCTGCCTGAGTACCTGCTCTGAAGCCACGCCCACTTCAGCTTCTGTGCCGTCTCAAGACCCTCTAATACCAATTCAGCTCACTGGATTCTCCTCAGCCCTCCCCAACTTGTTGGTGATACCGCAACAGTTTGGGTCTGTGTTCCTGGAAGTAGCTCCATGGGCAGCCTCAGAAACCTCCAAAGAGTGAGAGGCACCAGGCCAGAGCCCCTTGTTCACAATAGCCCCCAAGGAAGGCTGCATTGCCCTATTTATTTGTCCGAGGTTGCCTGGCTAATACGTGATTTGAGCCCAGCTCTCTCACCTCTATCCTGAACCCTTAGTGCACCAGCCTATCCACCGAATTCTGGAGAGATACGCAAGAGCCAGGCAGGCTCAGAATGCAGGCTAGTGCATTGGCATACCACACTTTGCTGAGCCTACACCCGTCGCACCCTCTGCAGAACCCAAACATACATCTCAACTTGGAGCAAGATGCGCTTCTCTTCCTGGACGTGTAGGCCCCACACGCAGTCCTGGCCCGGGCTATAGCTCTGGGGCCAGTCGGGAGAGAGGACCACACCAGCTGGCTCCGACAGCTCCCCTCCACACATGGCTAGGGAAAAAGGGGTGTCAGGTTCAGGACCCAGGTGGGCATGCCGTCTCCATTTCACCACGGTCCTCACCACTCGTGATGCATGTACCACATCACCTCGCTTGTTTCCTATTACCTAAGATCCACCTGCTTCTTTTATTCTTTTATTTTATGTTACGTTTTTCACTGGTTTTTTTGAGACAGGAGTCGCGGCTCGGTCGCCGCAGGCTGGAGGCAGGTGGCCGCAATCGCAGCGTCACTGCGAATGCGTCGCATGCCGGGTCCGCGCATTCTCCTGCGCCTCACGCCGCTCCCAGCAGGCGTGGAGACTAGCAGGGCGGCCCACCGGCCGACACGGCCGGCTAATTTTGGGGTGATTTTTGGAGTGAGAGACGATGTTTCACCCTATTAGCCAGAGATGGACTCAACAAGAGTCTCGCTGAGCCTCGTGATCCGCCTCCGCTGCGCCGTCCCGAAAGTGCTGGGATTACGAGGCGATGAGCC